TATATATTTTTGGCGGATTTAAGGCAAATGGTGCACCAAAGTCCCTGAAAATCTTTTCATTTGCAGGAATTTTGGCATGGCGTACTGAATTAAGTCTAGAATAATGTGTGCAAAGTTTCATGAAAACCGGTTCAGATGTAGATATAGCTCCTATATATAGTTTAGCCCGATTTTAGGTAAATGATACACCAAAGTCTTTGGAAATCTTTTGATTTGCACTAATTTTGGTGTGTGAAAAGTTTCGTGAAAATCGGTTTAGATTTAGATATAGCTGGTTAAAAAATATATACGTGTTTTAAATTCATTTTTCAAAGTCAACATAAGGCCTGAATTTAAAAAAAAAATTCTCGAGGTTCCACTGTCCTCTAATGTGTTTGCATTTAAATACCCTCACAATCTCTCTCCAGCCTATCAACACTCCTCCGTGAATATATCGTCTGCATGAAGACACCACACAGCCAGATACTGTCAACACGTTGTCATTCGTTGTTGTTGGTAATTCGTTTTTTTGCTGGTCCATATTTGCCGAACATAGCACGTGATGGCTGGTATTGCCATTTAGTTCGCCATTCTCTTCGCCATCGACTGGATTTGTTTGACATTTAATGTGGGCTTAAAAAGTTGTTAGCAAACACACAAAATATTCCTTCGTTTCCTTTGTTATTTGCGCTGCACAATGGAGTTTATAAAATAAACATGGCTAAATGGTAGTCCAAAACGTGCGTTAAAGATTAGAATCGCTCGGCAAATATTTAGGCGATGCGAATAAAACGTGTTAAATTCACAGTGACGACAGTATTTGGTCGGGAGAAAAAAAAATAAATATTTTTCTAATGAGGTGTGGAGGGCAGCACATGTAACGAGGGCGGGAATTGAGAGCAATGGGAGGCATTGAAAAAAAAAAATGATTTTAAAAATCCACACCTTATGTAGACCCCAGAAAAAATGATTTAAAAAATCCACACCTTATGTAGACCCCAGAAAAAATGATTTTAAAAATCCACACCTTATGTAGACCCCAGAAAAAATGATTTAAAAAATCCACGCCTTATGTAGACCCCAGAAAAAATGATTTAAAGAATCCACGCCTTATGTAGACCCCAGAAAAAATGATTTAAAAAATCCACACCTTATATTTGTGTATAATTTTGTTATTAAATAAACGTCTTATATTTAAGAAATCCATGCCCCGCATTTTTTACAAAACGCACGCTTCATACACATAAGTTCTTGAAAAAAACTTAAATAATCCAAACCTATGTTGGTAGCTGGAAAATTTATTTTTAATAAAAATCCACACCTTATCTAATATCTTTGAAAATTTTAGTTTCTTCATAATCTTAAAACATAAGTCTAAAACATTATATTAAAGTATGTATTCGGATTTAGAAACTAGACATTTCACCCTTTCAAATACTTTTTATTTCACATTAATGCGACCATTATTACCAAAGTTACAGCCTTTCAAAGGATCAACCCAACAGCACAGCACTGCAATTCAATAATATGCATGCACGCACAATCAGTAGAGCATGCAAACGAGAGAGATGGGTCTCTATTTGCTTGGTCCGCTGATTGTGCGTACATGCACGCATTATTGAATTGCAGTGTCTATTGATGTTAACGGTTCTCATTCTCATGGGACAATGTAAATGAATAGATGAGATTACACATGTGCTCTTCTCAGTGTATCGTTCTCCGGCCTCTACTGTGGTGATATTGTTATGTTTCACATAGTGGGTGGTAATGGGAGAATAGATGGTGGTAGCAAATACTGTTGTTGTTGTGTGATTTCATATTATTGTGGTGCAGTTTAGGTGGGTGATGGATCTCTCTTTGCTTGCTCCGCTGATTGTGCGTGAATGCATATTTTTGAAATGCAGTGTCTATTGATGTTAACGGTTCTCATTCTCATGGGACAATGTAAATAAGTAGATGAGATTACAACACATGTGCTCTTCTCAGTGTTTCGTTCTTTCCACTCTGGTGATATTGTTATCGTTCACATAGTGGGTGGTAATGGGTGGATGGATGGTCATAGCAAATGCTGTTGTTGTTGTGTGCTTTCTTATTATTGTGGTGCAGTTTAAGTGGGTGATGTGAGATGGATCTCTCTTTGCTTGCTCTGCTGATTGTGCGTGCATGCATGCATTATTGAATTTCAGTGCTGTGTTGTTGGGTCAAAACAACATGTTTTGTTGTTGTTAGTGTCTATTGATGTTAACGGTTCTCATTCTCATGGGACAATGTAAATGAGCAGATGAGATTACATATGTGCTCTTCTCAGCGTTTCGTTCTCTGGTCTCTATTGTGGTTATATTGCAAAGTTGAACAGAAGTTAATTGAGAGTAAGAATGTGAGAGCGTAACTGAGAGATAATCATCGAAAATGACTGATGAAAAGAGATAAAAAGAGAATACGTTGTTAGCAATCACCGCTGTCGTACTATTTTGTGCATTAGTGTTATATTGCTATGGTTCACACAGTGGGTGGTAATGGGAGAATAGATAGTGGTAGCAAATACTGTTGTTGTGTGCTTTCATATTATTGTGGTGCAGTTTAAGTGGATGATGGGAGATGGATCTCTGCTTGATCCGCTGATTGTGCGTGCATGCATGTTTTTGAATTGCAGTGCTGTGCTGTTGGGTTGATTCTTTAAATGGGGATGTAATTTTGGTAATAATGGTCGGATTGATGTGAAATAAAAAGCATTTGAAAGGATAAAGTGTCTTGTTTCTAAATCAGTGTTGGGCAAAATTAAATTGGGAGCAAGTGTGTGCGAGCGTAACTGAGAATTCACCATTAAAAGCGACTGACGTAAAGACATATATGGTAGCGTATATGGTGTAACGTGGTTTTCTCGTCGGCTGAGGTTAGCCCAGTGGGGTCCAAGGTCCTTATAAGGGCCCATAAAACCTTATTGATTGAAAAGACTAGTGCCTCCCTTTCGGGGTTAAAATCGTATGTTTATCGATTTTAAAACTAGTGTGTTTATATATAAATATGTGATACAAACAATTGATTTCGGGTGGTTTAATAAGCTGGTGAATGATGGTGATCGCGAATGATGGTTGTCGGGAGTCGGTATCGATGATCGGCAATGATGATTCACCGGTGATCGGGAGTGGTGAATGTCGGAAGCGGCAACGATGATTTAACGGTGATCGGGTGTCAGTACAATGATCGGCAACGACGATTTAACGGTGATCAGGAATTATGGTTATCTGGTGTCAGTATCCGCACGATGATCGGCAACGATGATTTAACAGTGGTCGGGAATGATGGTTGTCGGGTGTCAGTACGATGATCGGCAACGACGATTTGACGGTGATCGGGAATGATGGTTGTAGGGTGTCAGCACGGTGATCGGCAACGATGATTTAACGGTGATCGGGAATGATGGTTGTCGGGTATCAACACGATGATCGGCAATGATGATTTGACGGTGATGGGGAATAATGGTTATCTGGTGTCAGTTCGATGATATGCAACGACGATTTAACGGTGATCGGGAACAATGTTAGTAGTTGCTTACTGACTACGTTCTCATACAATCTACTATATCTAACTACCAACAGTACACCGAAGTCTCTGTGTGGAACAGCAAGCCGAAGCCTCTGTGTGGAACAGTATGCCGAAGCCTCTGTGTGGAACAGTATGCCGAAGCCTCTGTGTGGAACAGCAAGCCGAAGCCTCTGTGTGGAACAGTAGACCGAAGTCTCTGTGTCGAAAAGTAAACCGAAGTCTATGTGTGGAACAGTAGACCGAAGTCTCTGTGTCGATGTATTTAGGTAGCAACCCAAAAGAATTGTGAATGATCGTAAGTGCAATGAACATCCACAACACAAAATAGCACGTCTATGCAATGGCAAGCCGCCTTCAGTATATAAAAGTGAAATACTTCAGTTTGCGGAGTTACAACGTAAATGAGAATTACATCATAGAGTAGCTGACGCTAGCAAATGTCTATGCACTCGTTCCTAGTACTCACGGGGACGTCATGCGAGGTTTTTGCTATGCTATGATATGAAAAACAAAATTAAAATGTTCAGGTGCGCATTTTTTAAAAAAAGTTATTTTTTTAATAATTTTCCAAGGACCCACATAAGGCCTGGAGTTTTTAAATCATTTTTTCCATCACCTATATAAGGCGTTGATTTTTTAAATAATTTTTTTCAAACACCTTTATAAGGCGTGGATTTTTTAAATAATTTTTTGCAGCACCTATATAAGGCGAGGATTTTTTTAAATAATTTTTTCCAGGACCTATATAAGGCGAGGATTTTTTAAATAATTTTTTTCGAGGACCCTCATAAGGTCTGGTATTTTTTTAACAACACTCCTCCATGGATATTTCTTCTGCATGAGGACACCACACAGCCAGATACTGTCAACACGTTGTCATTCGTTGTTGCTGCTAATTCATTTTTTGTTGGTCCATATTTGCCGAGCATAGCACGTGATGGCTGGTATTGCCATTTAGTTCGCCATCGACTGGATTTGTTTGACATTTAATGTGGTCTTAAAAAATTGTTAGCAAAACACAAAATATTCCTTATATGGGTCCATGAAAAAATGATTTAAAAAATCCACGCCTGATATGGGTCCATGAAAAAAAGAATCCACGCCATATCTAGATCTCCGAATAAAATATTTAAAATCATTTACATACCTACCTCCTAACAAATATTTATTTAACGTGACCCTTAACACCAGGCTACTAATGAAGTAATTTCCCTTAACCTGCTCATCGTGCAAGGAAAACAATCTAAATTTATTTACTCGTTTTGCATTATTTATTATTATTTTATTTTTAAACACACATATTAAATAAAAAAATCAAATTTTTGTGGAAATGAAACAATTAAGGAAAATATACAAAAAAAAAAAAAAAATATCCCATGCTTTTCACAGATAACCCCACCCCACTTAATCCGAATATAAAATACATTTAATAATTTTGAATTGTTCTTATTGCTGTTGTCCAGCTCTCCAACATTCTATATAGTCGGTAGATGATGTTCCGATCTGGGATATAACGTTGAATGTTTATTCAGCGGCTGTAATTTGCCATAGTCTTGACTGTGATGTTGTGGATGATGGTGATGATTGGCTGTCAGTAGAGGAAGTGAGGTATTTGAAGTCTAGGAAAAAATAACAACAACAACATTGGAATAAAACAAATTCAAATTTCAAAATTGTGAAAATTTCCCCCCTCACCTTTGATTTATCTCTTCCCGTCGAGGCCACTGTATTCATCCCAGTGGCTTGAGCAGCAGCGGCTGCTGCCGCTGCCTGGGTTGTTTGTAATAATGATTGTGTCGCCTGTTGTTGTTGTTGCTGCTGTTGTTGTTGTAACATGTGTTGTTGCAGTAGCTGTTGTTGTTGTCTCAGTGTGGCAGCCTCCAGACTGTTCAGTGTTTCCATTTCCCGTTGTTTGGCAATATAGTCATCGAAATAGGAATGCTTGACCAGTTTTTCGCAAGGCCAACGTTTGGCGGGATCTTTGTCCAAACATTTCTGAAAAAGGAAATTTTTAGAATTAAAAAAAAAAATAATAATAATAAAAGTTTGGATTTCACACAAGGCGTGGATTTTTTAAAAAATATTTTTTCAAAAATCCACACAAGGCGTGGATTTTTTAAAAAATATTTTTTCAAGCATCCGCACAAGGCGTGGATTTTTTAAAAAATATTTTTTCAAGCATCCACACAAGGCGTGGATTTTTTAAAAAAAATTTTTTCAAGCATCCACACAAGGCGTGGATTTTTTAAAAACTATTTTTCAAGCATCCAAACAAGGCGTGGATTTTTTAAAAAATATTTTTTCAAGCATCCACACAAGGCGTGGATTTTTTAAAAAATATTTTTTCAAGCATCCACACAAGGCGTGGATTTTTTAAAAAATATTTTTTCAAGCATCCACACAAGGCGTGGATTTTTTAAAAAATTTTTTTTAAAGCATCCACACAAGGCGTGGATTTTTTAAAAAAATATTTTTTTTCAAGCATCCACACAAGGCGGGGATTTTTTAAAAAATATTTTTTTTCAAGCATCCACACAAGGCGGGGATTTTTTAAAAAATATTTTTTCAAGCATCCACACAAGGCGTGGATTTTTTAAAAAATATTTTTTCAAGCATCCACACAAGGCGTGGATGTTTTAAAAAATATTTTTTCAAGCATCCACACAAGGCGTGGATTTTTTAAAAAATATTTTTTCAAGCATCCACACAAGGCGTGGATTTTTTAAAAAATATTTTTTCAAGCATCCACACAAGGCGTGGATTTTTTAAAAAATATTTTTTCAAGCATCCACACAAGGCGTGGATTTTTTAAAAAATATTTTTTCAAGCATCCACACAAGGCGTGGATTTTTTAAAAAATATTTTTTCAAGCATCCACACAAGGCGTGGATTTTTTAAAAAATATTTTTTCAAGCATCCACACAAGGCGTGGATTTTTTAAAAAATATTTTTTCAAGCATCCACACAAGGCGTGGATTTTTTAAAAAATATTTTTTCAAGCATCCACACAAGGCGTGGATTTTTTAAAAAATATTTTTTCAAGCATCCACACAAGGCGTGGATTTTTTAAAAAATATTTTTTCAAGCATCCACACAAGGCGTGGATTTTTTAAAAAATATTTTTTCAAGCATCCACACAAGGCGTGGATTTTTTAAAGAATATTTTTTCAAGTATCCACACAAGGCGTGGATTTTTTAAAGAATATTTTTTCAAGCATCCACACAAGGCGTGGATTTTTTAAAAAATATTTTTTCAAGCATCCACACAAGGCGTGGATTTTTTAAAAAATATTTTTTCAAGCATCCACACAAGGCGTGGATTTTTTAAAAGCATCCACACAAGACGTGGATTTTTTAAAAAATATTTTTTCAAGCATACACACAAGGCGTAGATTTTTTAAAAAAATATTTTTTCAAGCATCCTATTGAGGATTGTTTAAGAATATCTATCACGTTGTATTGTGATTTTCCCAGAATAAATAGCGCCCTCTGTATGTGATCATGTTTGGTTCGCGTGTTTGCTTTTAATCGTTCTTGACTGTGAATTGTCATTGCTGGTGTCTTTGCTAAACTTATTGGAGCCACTAAGCCAGCAGATGGCGTTTCTGAGCAAACATAGGACCATATGGGGATGATGTGTGAAACCAATTAAATAATTGAAATCGAAACAGTCTGAGTATGTATTTAACAATTCACGGCTATGTATGGAGATTTTTTCTGTTGTTCGAAAATCGAAGGTTCATTACTATGTAGAGCCTCTAACAATATATATTTTTTTAATTCGTGCCTCCCTAATATTTCATTAAGTCAATATTTGATGAAATCTCATTTTCATTCGTCTTATAGTGAGCCACTATCCAGTTTACCTTACATTGAACCTCTTGTTATCAAAATTTCCAAAGGAAAACATTTCATGTCATTTCCATTTATGATGGAATGGTCACAACCTCTTCCTCATGCTGTTGCTGCCATATTTAGCCACTTACCTTTAGAAAATCGATGGTCAATGGATTTTGTAAGGCTTTTGCTGGCATTTTCTCTTCCAGAGTTTCCAGATTGGGTGGTACGGGTAGTGTGATGCCCTGCAAAAACCAAAAAAAAAAAAAAAAAAAAAACACATCATCGCATGAAAATAGGAAATGAAATTCGATTGTCAACGCTGCTGGAGTTCGCTGCATACCCACCTTGAAATACTCATTCTGGGCAAAAATCTGTATGTGCCTTGGCAGGAGATCACCCAACGTTTTGCGTATCAAATATAATTGATCCACATCACTGCGTCCCGGCCAGAGGGCTTCACCACGCACCAACTCGGCAAAAAGGCAGCCAATGGCCCAGACATCGACTGGCGTGCCATATTGGGTGTCACCCACCAGCAGTTCTGGGGCACGATACCATCGGGTGGCAACATAGTCGGTATAGTTTTCACCAGGACCTAGAACAGGAAAAAAAATCAGGGAGAAGAAAAAAATTGCGGAGTATAGTTTGGCCATCATTGTCATCACTTTTCAGGCAGGATGTACAAAAGAATGAAGTTGCTGTTCAGACACTTCGTCGGTTGGTCGTCCGTTCATTCTCATACTCACTTAGCATGCGAGCAAAACCGAAATCACACAGCTTCACTTGTCCCTGTGCTGTCAACAGAATGTTCTCCGGTTTGATGTCACGATGCAGGCAGCCCTGCTTGTGGCAATATGCCACTCCTTGTAACGTTTGATAGACGATTTGTTTGGTTAAATGCTCGGGACAGCCCTGCGGATGTCGTTCCAGCTCATGTAGTACCGTTAGTTCACAAAATTCAAATACCAAATGCAATCGTCGTTTGCGGCGAAATACTTCGAGCAGTGAAACCAAATTTGGATGTTTCAAATTCTAAATGACCAAATATTTGGATGCGAGAGACGATGGAGGAGGTCATGAAACGAAAAAAATAGAAGAAGAAAAAAAGAAGAGGAGTTAGTATTGGATAGTAATTTGTGTGTGTGCGGAACAGCATTTAATGACACGTATGCAGGAGGGTTGGGGAGGGACGAGAGATTGAAATAAAATGCGAACGGAGAAATGAAGTAGTCATTTCCAGCAGCAGAAAGGATAATAACAATGAAACTTAGAAACGTAAAAAGGAACATTATGACGTTTTGTGGTTGGTTGCTTGATTTGTAAAGGTCAGTTGTATGACAATTTGTTTGTTCGGGCCAGAAGAGAAATGTAATCTTCTTCAAAGGTATGGTAAATAAAATTAAAGGCTTTAAGAGGCAAGATTTGAATTTGTAGGAGTCTCATTTTTTACCTTAATGAGATTTAGAAGGCTCATATATGAGAGGGAATTTTTAAAAGTATTTTTAGGAGGCCTCAACATAGGCGAGGCTTTTTAAACATATGTTTAGGAGGTCTCAATATGAGCGTGGAGTTTAAAAATATATTTTAGGAGGATTCAATAAAAGCGTGGAGTGTAAAAATATATTTAGAGGTTTCAATACGAGCCGGGTGTTTTAGAAATGCTCCAGATGGCCTTGAATTTTTAAAAATATGCTTCGATCGACGCACAAAGGTCTACATTTTGTAAACATATTTTTTATTATAGCTCCAAATTATAAATTTTTTTCGAAGGTCTCACAAAAGTGCATCTTCTATAAAAATATTTTTTAGAAGTGTTCCACATAGTCGTGGATAATTTTTAAAATAGATTTTTATTCATGGATTTTTTAACAGAAAAAGGCTTGTGTTATGATCTTCCTCCGAATAAAGAGCGCCATCTATATTCGATTATGTTTTGGTTTGGATCTTAGCTTATTATCGTCACGGCTATAAATTATTATTACTTGTGTCTTTGCTAAACATAGTCAAAGACATAAAAGTATAAAGATAGGACAATCGATACGTAAACAATTCCCAACAGATGGCTTTTCCTCTGTTGTTACGATATCATAACAACAGAGCGAACACTATTAAACGTTTTTAGTGCTATATCTTAAGCTTATAAAATGAAAACATATATTTTGAGTGCAGACCTGTGATTTTATTTACATTTTATACAGACATTTTCGCGTATTGGCGTTTTTATTCTTAACATGCCTCTGTTATACCTGATTCCCCCTGGATATGCTTTCATAAACTATTTTGTCAATATACATTTTGTCGAGTCTTTATGATTTCTATGTCTTTGACATAGTCTAGCCCCTAACGCAGTAGGTGGCGTTTCTTAATGAACATAGGGCCGATATGGGACATGATTTGCGAAACCAATTAATAATTGCAATTAATTAAAATAACACAAAGATATTTAAAATATTTTTTTTTTTCAGAATCCAAAATAGCATGGATTTCTTAGAAATATTTTTTCATGTTATTATACCCTACACAACTATGTTGTCAGGGTATTATAGCTTTGTGCAGCCCCAAAAGTTTGTAACGCCGCGAAATATTGGTCCTAGACCCACCTTTAAGTATACCGATCGTCATATCTCGACTAGATGAGTCGATCTAGACATGTGTGTCCGTCCGTCCGTCTGTCCATTATAATTTGTAAACACGATACAGGCCACAGTCATGGACCAATCTTCACGAAATTTTGCATGTAGGATGGGTTCTGGCCAATGAAGACCCCTATTTTTGGGAAAGATCGGTTAATATTTAGGGAATGAAATGGACCAAATACTAAATTTTTGTCCGTTTTTCTGGTCGCTCCAGAGGCCGCAATAGTGGCCCGAACATCGTGAAATTTTCCATGGAGACGGGGATCAGACCAAAGAATAAGCATGCCTGTTTTCATAAAGATCGACCAATATTTAGCGGGTCAAATGGACCCGTGTGTGAAAAATGACAAAATTTTTATTCTATAGTATATATATTTACCCCTGAAGGACATAGGCCCGAAAAGTTTATATTATATCCAAGAGGAGTGGTTGACCTTTAAATTGCTACCAATTATATTGTTGTATGTGCTCGGATGTGGGAGTTACACCTAAATATTTACAGGTATCTCCGTATTCGTATATTATTTAGTAACCCATTATCACTCTACAGAGGGGAACTATAGCGCTGATCGCTTTGAAATGTTCCATGAGGTTTCAGTTATGGTCAAGGACAACGCCTATAATTTTCGGTGATGACCAGATAATAATTTTGGAATGAAGTGGACCGAAAACTTTTTTTTTGTTATTTTCGAGTCGATCTATAGACTACAAATGAAAGCCGAACATCACAATACATCCCACGGTGAAGGGAATCTGGACAATAGCAGTACTGAATACTCGTAATATTCGAAAAATATGTCAGTGTAAGGACAATAGCTGTACTGAACAATAGCTGGACAATAGCTGTACTGAATACTAGTAATATTCGGGAAATATGTCAGTGTAAGGAAGAGGTGCTGTTTACCTCTAATCGGGTAAGAGGGTGCAAATATCACGGAGGGTGCAAATATATCGGAATATACATCCGCAGAAAATTTGAGTTCCGTGGTAGTTGTGTAGGGTATCGTATGGTCGGCCCCGTCCGACTATACTGCTCCGCTCACTGGTTTTAGAAATGCGTTGATTTTTATAACCTACACAACTATTTTGTCAGTGTTTTATAGCTTTATGCAGCCCCAAGAGTGTGTAACAATTTAAATTGCACCAAATTTAGTACACAGTAGTACCAATTTCAAAGCTTCCTATATACCCCAATCCAACACCTCCACAGTAATCCTAAATCCAAGTTTCAGGATTCCAACTCCATAGGTTCACCCACAATTCAAATTGTACCAAATCCTCCTTCTTATCCCAAACCAACACCCCCACAGTGATCCTAAATTCAGGATTCAGTTCACTCACAATTTAAATTGTACCAAATTTAGTACACAGTAGTACCAATTTCAAAGCTTCCTATATACCCCAATCCTACACCCCCACAGTATTCCTAAATCCAAGTTTCAGGATTCAAACTCTATCAGTTCAACCACAATTCAAATTGTACCAAATTTAGTACACAGTAGTACGAATTTCCAGGACCCCCTACTTACCCCAAACCAACATCCCCACAGTGATCCCAAATCCAAGTTTCAGGATTCAAACTGTATCAGTTCACCCACAATTCAAATTGTACCAAATTTAGTACACAGTAGTACCAATTTCCAATCCTGCCTACATACCCCAACCTTACACTACCAACGTGATCCTAAATCCAAGCTTCAGGATTCAAACTCTATCAGTTCACCCACAATTCAAATTGAACCAAATTTAGTACACAGTAGTACAAATTTCCAAAACTTCCTACATAACCCAATCCTACACCTCCACAAATCTAAATTTCATGATTTCAATTCTATCGCTTCACCCACAATTCAAATTGTACCAAATTTAGTACACATCAGTACAAATGTCTAAAACTTCCTACATATTTCAATATTACACACCTCAACAGTGACCCTGACTCCAAATTTCATGATTCTAGCTCTATTGGTTCACCTAAAATTTAAATTGTACCAAAATTGTACCAAATTTAGTACTCATAAGTATTAATTTGTTAAACTGAATCCTGACTCTAATCCTATATCCCTGCAATGATCCTAACTCCATATTTCATTGTTCCAGCTCTATCGGTTCAACCAAATCCAAATTGTACCAATTATAGTACGATTTAGTACATTTCGTACACATAAGTAAACATTTCCAAAACTATGTACATATCCCAATCCTACACTCCGACGGTAATGTTACTTTCAATTTTCAAGATTCCAGCTCGATTTGTACCTCCAATAGAATTTTTAGCAAATATAGTACCATACAGTACTTTTTGTACACATGAGTACACGCTTTCCAAACTCTCCTCATATAGACCCTACATCTCAACGACTGTGTAAACGATATAGTCGTCAACGAAAAGTAGGGAGTATAGTCGCCGAAGTTGTCGTCAACGACAACATCGCTTACCCTGTCGCTCAAGTTGTCTTGCATTGTTTTAATCCACGCCTTGCATAAGGCCTCATATTTTTTTAAACCCACCCCTTGTATAAGGCCTTCAAAAAAGACATTAAAAAAAACCAGCGAGGAACGAAGTAAAGTCGGACGGAACCGACTATATGATACCCTTCACCACTTTGGGTATTTCAGCAGATGAATCCTAGCAGACGTCGCATTTTTAAAGGACCAGTAAAATGAAATTGGATCCATAAACATGTCATTCTGCAACCGATACTAAATGTTTCATTTCTTCAGATATGGAAGCTATATCGAAATCTGAACCGATTTTCTCGAAACTTGACACAAATCATTCTAGATCTAATACATTACGCTGTGCCAAATTTCGTGCAAATCGAAACATATATAGGGACTTTGGTGCTCCATTTTCATTAAATCGGACATAAATATATATGGGAGCTATATCTAAATCTGAGCCGATTTTCACGAAGCTTAGCACACATCGTTCTAGACTTAATTCAGAACGCTATGTCAAATTTCGTGCAAATCGAAAGATATATAGGGACTTTGGTGCACCATTTTCATTAAATCGGACGAAAATTTATATGGGAGCTCTATCTAAATCTGAACCGATTTTCAGGAAACTTAAACCACATCATTCTAGGTCTAATTCATTACGCTGTGCCAAATTTCGTGCGAATCGAAACATATATAGGGACTTTGGTGCACCATTTACATTAAATCGGGCGAAAATATATATAGGAGCTATATCTAAATCTGAGCCGATTTTAAGCAAACATAACACATATAATTCTAGACCTAATTCATTACGCTGTGCCAAATTTCGAGCAAATCGAAAGATATATAGGGACTTTGGTGCATCATTTACATTAAATCGAACGATACTATATATGGGAGCTATATCTAAATCTGAACAGATTTTCAGGAAACTTAACACACATCATTCTAGACCTAATTCATTACCCTGTGCCAAATTTCGTGCAAATCGAATGATATATAGGGACTTTGGTGCACCATTTACATTAAATCGGACGAATATATATATGGGAACTATATCTAAATCTGAACCGATTTTCTCGAAACTTAACACACATCATTCTAGGTCTAATTCATTACGCTGTGCCAAATTTCGTGCGAATCGAAACATATATAAGGACTTTGGTGCATCATTTACATTAAATCGAACGATACTATATATGGGAGCTATATCTAAATCTGAACCGATTTTCACGAAACTTAACACACATCATTCTAGGTCTAATTTATTACGCTATGCCAAATTTCGTGCAAATTGAATGATATTAAGGGACTTTGGTGCATCATTTACATTAAATCGGACGAAAATATATATGGGAGCTATATCCAAATCTGAACCGATTTTCACGAAACTTGACACACATCATTCTAGACCTAATACATTACGCTGTGCCAAATTTCGTGCAAATCGAAAGATATATAGGGACTTTGGTGCACCATTTACATTAAATCGGACAAAAATATATATGGGAGGTATATCTAAATCTGAACCGATTTTCAGGAAACTTAACACACATCATTCTAGGTCTAATTCATTACGCTGTGCCAAATTTCGAGCAAATCGAATGATATATAGGGACAATGGTGCACCATTTCCTTCAAATCGGACGAAAATATATATGGGAGCTATATCTAAATCTGAGCCGATTTTCACGAAGCTTAGCACACATCGTTCTAGACTTAGTTCAGAACGCTATGTCAAATTTCGTGCAAATCGAAAGATATATAGGGACTTTTGTGCGTTATTTACCTCAAATCGGACGAACCTATTTATGTGAGCTATATCGAAATCTGAACCGATTTTCACTAAACTTAACACACATCACTATAGACTTAATTCAGTACGCTGTGTAAAATTTCGTGCAAATCGAAAGATATATAGGTGATTTGGTGCACTATTTACCTAAAATCGGACGAAAATATATATGGGAGCTATAACTAAATCTAAACCGATTTTCACGAAATTTAACACACATCGTTCTTGACTTAATTCAGTACGCTATGTCAAATTTCGTGCAAATCGAAGGATATATAGGGACTTTGGTGCACCATTTATATTAAATCGGACGAAACTCTATATGGGAGCTATATCTAAATCTGAACCGATTTTCACGAAACTTAACACACATCATTCTAGGTCTAATTCAGTACGCCGTGCAAAATTTCGTACAAATCGAAAGATATATAGGGACTTTGGTGCACCATTTACATTAAATCGGACGAAAATATATATGGGAGCTATATCGCAATCTGAGCCGATTTTCAGGAAACTTAACACACATTATTCTAGACCTAATTCATTACGCAGTGCCAAATTTCGTGCAAATCGAAAGATATATAGGGACTTTGGTGCACCATTTACATTAAATCGGACGAAACTATATATGGGAGCTATATCTAAATCTGAACCGATTTTCAGGAAACCTAACACGCATCATTGTAGACCTAATTCATTATTCTGTGCCAAATTTCGTGCAAATCGAAACATATATAGGGATTTTGGAGTCCCATTTACGTTAAATCGGACGACAATATATATGGGAGCTATATCTAAATCTGAACCGATTTTCACGAAACTTAACACACATCATTCTAGGTCTAATTTATTACGCTATGCCAAATTTCGTGCAAATCGAAAGATATATAGGGACTTTAGTGCACCATTTACATTAAATCGGACGAAAATATATATGGGAGCTATATCTAAATCTGAACCGATTTTCAGGAAACTTAACACACATCTTTCTAGGTCTAATTCATTACGCTGTGCCAAATTTCGTGCAAATCGAAACATATATAGGGACTTTGATGGACCATTTACATTAAATCGGACGAAAATATGTATGGGAGCTATATCTTAATCAGAACCGATTTTCAGGAAACTTAACACATATCATTCTAGGTCTAATCCATTACGCTGTCCCAAATTTCGTGCAAATCGAAAGATATATAGAGACTTTGGTGCACCATTTACATTAAATCGGACGAAACTATATATGGGAGCTATATCTAAATCTGAGCCGATTTTCAGGAAACTTAACATGCATCATTCTAGACCTAGTTCATTACACTGTGCCAAATTTCGTGCAAATCGAAAAATATATAGGGACTTTGGTGCACCATTTACATTAAATCGGACGACAATATATATGGGAGCTATATTCAAATCTGAACCGATTTTCACGAAACTTGACACGCATCATTCTAAACCTAATACATTACGCTGTGCCAAATTTCGTGCAAATCGAAACATATATAGGGACTTTGGTATACCATTTACCTTAAATCGGACGAAAATATATATGGGAGCTATTTCCAAACCTGAACCGATTTTTACGAAACTTGACACACATAATTCTAGACCTAATACATTACGCTGTGCCAAATTTCGTGCAAATCGAAACATATATAGGGACTTTGGTGCTCCATTTTCATTAAATCGGACGAATATATGTATGGGAGCTATATCGAAATCTGAACCGATTTTCACTAAACTTAACACACATCACTATAGACTTAATTCAGTACGCTATGTAAAATTTTGTGCACATCGAAAGATATATAGGGACTTTGGTGCACCATTTACATTAAATCGGGCGGAAATATATGTGGGAGCTATATCTAAATCTGAACCGATTTTCAGGAAACTTAACACATATCATTCTAGGTCTAATTCATTAAGCTGTGCCAAATTTCGTGCAAATCGAAAGATATATAGGTGCTTTGGTGCACTATTTACCTAAAATCGGACGACAATATATATGGGAGCTATATCTAAATCTAAACCGATTTTAACAAAACTTCGCAGACATCAGTCTGGACCTAATTCCGAACTCTGCGCCAAATTTTGTCTCAATTGGACAAATATTGGGAGTTTGGTGAATTATTCACATAAAATCGGACGAAACTATATATGGGAGCTATATCTAAATCTGAACCGATTTCAAGAAAACTTCGCACACATAAGCATAGACCTGATTCAGTGCGCTGAGCAAATTTTGTACAAATCGGGCAAATGTTGAGAGTTTGGTGCATCATTTACCTAAAATCGGACGAAAATATTTATGGGAGCTATATCAAAATCTTAACCGATTTTCTCCAATTTCAATAGGGTAAGTCCTTGGGCCAAATAAGTGAACTATGACAAATTTCATCAAAATCGGATCATAAATGCGACCTGTACTTTGTTAACAAAAATACATGGACGGACACACCGACATGCATAAATCGACTCAGAAAGTGATTCTATACATATTCTCAATAGGAACCCTGGGTCTATTTCGATTTCTTTTGCCTGTTACAAACATATGCTCAAAGACATAATACCCTGTACCACAGTGTGGTGAAGGGTATAAAAATCCACGCCCTTCTTAGGCCTCTAAAAAATAATTTTTTGAAAAATCCACGCCTTGTATAAGACCTTGAAAACATATCATCATCCACGGCTACGGTGAGACCTCCAAAAAATATTTTCTGTCAAAGACCCTATGTTCTTCGATCTACTGTCTTACCTTTAATAGTCGTATCTCTCTTAAAGCTATTTTCCTTATTGCCGGATCATCTTCAGACTCTACAAAACGTTTGACGGCAACCAGCTGGCCTGTCTCACGATCTCGACATTTATAGACGACACCATAGGAACCTTCACCCAATCGACTGAGTTTTTCATAGCGATCCATTTTGCTGCTACCCTGAGGCCTGTGAAAATAAAGAGGAAATATTATTATGAGGATATCGGAAAGGTATTCAAGGACCTAAGGTAAATTTTTTTCTATAGAACAAAATCGATCACAGGAACCTGAGGCCAATTTTTTTCTCTTAAAAAAATCTGTCTCGGGACATTATAGGAAAAAAAGATTGACTCAGATTCCTGAGGCCAATTTTTTTCTATAAAAATCTGTTTCAGGACACTATAGAAAATAATGATAGTCTCAGGTTCCTGAGGCCAATTTTTTCTATAGAAAAAAAGAAAGCCTCAGGTTCCTGAGGCCAATTTTTTTTCTCTCGGAAAAAAATCAGCCTCAGATTCCTATTTTTTTTTACAAAAAAACTGTCAAAGAGGATCTCATCCTCATCCGGCATACCTTAAACTCAAACATTGACCTCTAATGAGATTGGCACGTTTCATATTCGGTTGGCGTTTATTTTCGAAGTTGAACAAAGGAGGTGGTATGTTTTCGGGTTGTTGTTGTTGGTGGTTAGTTGTGGTGGCAAGGATGTTAATGATGACGGTGGTGGTGGTGGTAGTGGCAGTGGTGGTTATGTTGATGAAGCCAAAAACGATGTTGTTGTTATTGTTGTTGTTGTTGCATTAATGAAAAGAATGAGAACAAATATTTACAAAAGATGACGTTGTTGTAGTTGTTGTTGTGTCGTTTATGGTGGTTATTGTTGTTGTTGTTTTTTTATCACATAATGAGCGGAAGGTTGAATTGACTGATGAATGGTGTGTCATGGTAGATAAAAAAATAGAGTGGCGTTAGTGGGTGTTTGGTTAATAATTTTAAAAACACTTCGGAAAATTCCTCAGGGCCCTGAGGCAGATTTTTTTTTATAAATAAAAATTGCCTCATGACATATGAGGCTAATTTTTTTCTATAGAAAAAAAATTTGCCTCAAGATTCTGAGGCTCACTTTTTTCTATGAAAAAAATTTGCCTCAGGACACCTGAGGTTGACTTTTTTCTATAGAAAAAATTTGCCTAAGGACATATGAGGCTGACTTTTTTCTATAAAAATATTTGCCTCAGAACACCTGAGGTTGACTTTTTTCTATGAAAAAAATTTGCCTCAGGACACCTGAGGCTAACTTTTTTCTATAAAAAAATTTCCTTCAGGACAATTGAGGTTGACTTTTTTCTATGAAAAAAAAAATTGCCTCGGGACACCTGAGGTTGACTTTTTTCTATAGAAAAAATTTGCCTCAGGACACCTGAGGTTGACTTTTTTCTATGAAAAAAATTCCTCAGATCTCTGAGGACACTTTTTTCTATGAAAAAAATTTGCCTCAGGACACCTGAGGTTGACTTTTTTCTATAGAAAAAAATTGTCCTCAGGACACCTGAGGCTGACTTTGGATGGCCTCCTGAGGATGAATTTTTCTTCTTTATATTTTTTTACATTTCCACTATTTTTTTAAACATTTTTTTTCACAAAATTCACCTTTCCGATTATCGAATATGAGAAAAAAAACTTTTTGTTTTTATTCGAAACGCAAACTTTCTTCCTTCATTGTCACTGAAAAATATTAATCCGAATGAGTGAATGAATCGAATAACAAGACCACTGGAACATACATACATCAGTATGTATGTATGTGCTTGTGTATTAATGGTCATAACTTTGTTGCCATGGTAATGGTCATTTAATGGTCATGGTGACCACCCGGTTTATAATTTTATGGAGGGGTGTTCCTGGACAACATTGTAAATAAATATCGAAGGCAAATAAAAAAAGGACATCGGTGAGGATAAGGCGTGGATTTATTAAAAAAAATATTTTTTCAAGGGTCCGTCCATACAAGGCGTGGATTTATTAAAAAATATTTTTTCAAGGGTCCGTCCATACAAGGCGTGGATTTATTAAAAAAATATTTTTTCAAGGGTCCGTCCATACAAGGCGTGGATTTATTAAAAAATATTTTTTCAAGGGTCCGTCCATACAAGGCGTGGATTTATTAAAAAAATATTTTTTTAAGGGTCCGTCCATACAAGGCGTGGATTTATTAAAAAATATTTTTTCAAGGGTCCGTCCGTACAAGGCGTGGATTTATTAAAAAATATTTTTTCAAGGGTCCATAAAAGGCGTGGATTCATTAAAAAATATTTTTTCAAGGGTCCGTCCATACAAGGCGTGGATTCATTAAAAAATATTTTTTCAAGGGTCCGTCCATACAAGGCGTGGATTTATTAAAAAATATTTTTTCAAGGGTCCATACAAGGCGTGGATTTATTAAAAAATGTTTTTTCAAGGGTCCGTCCGTACAAGGCGTGGATTTATTAAAAATATTTTTTCAAGGGTCCGTCCGTACAAGGCGTGGATTTATTAAAAATTTCTTTTGAAGAGCCACGACAAGGCGTGGACTTATTAAAAATATCTTTTGAAGAGCCACGACAAGGCGTGGACTTATTAAAAATTTCTTTTGAATTGTTCATCACCCGTTGGAATAGTGAGCTGATATGCGCCGCGAGTATACCCATAAGAACTATAGAAAAAGGGTTGAGGCGTCGGGTTAGTTGCCCACACTCGGAAAACCCCTCCTACTATGAAAAAGCAAAAAAAAAAAGAAAGCAAACGTATAAAGGACCACGATCTGCGAATCTGCACTTGGACACTGCGCCTGTTCTGTTCGCTTTGGCGGAAGTACTCAAGAAGTACAAAGCCGATATTGGAAAGGGACAGGCGTAAGTAAATCAGACGATTACGCCCTGTATTATAGCTGTCACGAATTGAGACATGAATTTGGCTGCGGATTTATGGTCAACAGGAGAATAAAAGACCTAGTCTCCAGATTCACTCCAGTAGATGAGCGAATTTCTATAATTCGCATAAAAGCGAAGTTCTTCTACATCAGTCTTATTTGGGCCCATGCTCCGATCGAAGACAAAGATGAGCAGACCAAAGGCATATTTTACGAGCGCCTAGAAACAACATATGACCGTTGCCCTGGCCATGACACTAAAATTCTGCTAGAAGTTTTTAATGCAAAAATCGGAAGGGGAAATATATTTGGTCCCACCGTCGGAAAATTCAGCCTCCATGAAGACACATCCGACAACAGCATAAGGTTGATTGACTTCGCGACAGAAAAAACATGGTAGTTACCACCACCAGATTCAAGCATCTCGATATACATAAGGCCATCTGGATTTCTCCCGATCGAACAACGAGAAATCAAATTGATCATGTTGTGAAAGATGGAAGGCATTCATCCAGTGTATTGGACGTTCGATCGATCCGAGGCGGCGAATATCGATTCGGACAACTACCTTGTAGCAGCCAAGGTTCGCACTCGTCTTAATGTTGCAGCAAAGATGCGATCAAACACAACACGGAAACTCAAAGTCGAAAAAACTGCAAACACAACAGGTAGCAGAGGCCTACTCCGCTGAACTTACCCACCTGCTTGACGAAAGCACTTCTTGTCCCGATAAGAGTATAGAAGCACACTGGCAAATAATTGGCAACTCCCTAGAAACTGCAGCAAAAGCAACACTTGGGTACCAAAAACCACCACCAAGAAATCCTTGGTACCATCGGGAGTGTCGTAATGCTACTGATGTGAAAAAACGCAGCATATAGGGCAACCCTGCAGACAGTAGCTACACGTATTGCGATGGAGAATTGTCGGAAGAAAAAAAAGAGAGGAGAAGCGTGTTTTCAGAAAAAAAGGAAAAAACTAGATAAACATGAGCGTGAGCAAATCGAGATGCACAGGAGTCAGCATGAAGTCCGGAAATTTGACCAACAAGTAAAACAACAAACGGAAAGCTTTGGTGCAGGTACATCCTCCTGTAGAAATGAAGAAGGAAACCTGGTGAGAGATACAGACAGTGTTCTGAGGATCTGAAAGGAGCATTTTGAAAAGCTTCTGGTATCAAATAGTGGCGGTGAAGAGGATACCCCAGAACCAATAATAGATGAGGGTATAGAATCTATACCACCTAGCCAAGATAAAGTCAGAATAGCTATCAATCCGCTGAAGAATAATAAAGCAGCAGGTGTCGATGGCCGAACTATTCAAGACTGATGGTTAGATGCTGGTCAGGTGCATGCACCAGCTGATTAGTACAATTTGGCTAAAAGAATGCATGCCCAATGAAAATCTGGTCAATGATAGATTTGTCAGGTCTGAAGCCTCATTGGTATGGTCCAATAATGTCATTGACCATTGGCTTCAATCGTTCACACAGCACACTCGACAGCCCTGTATATGCGATGGGAAGGAGACATATACCTCTATAATTGGCACATATCGTCTTGTCTCTTTTTTTGTGCACGGGACGCATCTCTTGTGCACGGGACGATATGTGCCAATTATAGAGGTATATGTCTCCTTCCCATCGCATATACAGGGCTGTCGAGTGTGCTGTGTGAACGATTGAAGCCAATGGTCAATGACATTATTGGACCATACCAATGAGGCTTCAGACCTGGCAAATCTATCATTGACCAGATTTTTACTCTGCACCAAATCTTGGAAAAAAAACCCACTAAAAACACATCGACACATACCACCTATTTGTCGACTATAAAGCCGCATTCGACATCCCTATCCGTTCAGAGGTGTTTAAAGCCATGTCGGCATTTGGCATTCCTGCAAAATTAATACATCTATGCAGGATAACTTTAAGTGCCACAAGGTCGGCAGTTAAAGTCGTAAAGGACCTCTCGGAGCCCTTTAATACCGAACGAGGATTCAGACAAGGTGATAGTTTGCCGTGTGATCTTTTTAACATTCTGCTGAAAAATGTCATACGAGACGCAAATGTGAACAGAAATGGCAATCTGTACACCAAACAACACCAGTTACTCGCCTACGCCGATCACATCGATATAAAGGGTCGAACATTGAGAACGGTAACATTTACCTTTGAACAAATTGAGAATGAGTCTGCCAAAGTGGGTCTGGCAGTAAAAACGGCGAGAAGACCAAGCTGATGATATCGACGCGCAAGACGTCCAGTAGACTCGGACCAATTGTGGAACTTGAGAACTACAGCTTCGAAGTAGTTAAAGATTTTATATACCTTGGTACCGCCATAAATAAAACGAATGACATCAGTTTTGAAATTCCGAAAAGGATTGTGATGGCCAACAGATGCTACTATGGTCTAAGTAAGCAGTTTAGAAACAAGGCCACCTCCCGCCAAACCAAACTCACACTCTACAAGACGCTGATACTACCCGTGCTGTTATATGGATCTGAAGCATGGGTACTTGCGCAAGCAGATGAGACAGCTCTTGGGGTGTTTGATAGAAAAATTCTCCGAAAAATCTATGGGCCGATCTGGGTCGTCGATGAATATCGGCGTCTAATGAACCACGAGCTTTATAATTTATACGCAGACATCGACATAGTCAGTCGTATTGAGCTACAGCGACTA